TTTCTGCGCACAGGGTGCACCTCCCTCAGCGCGCGCACTGCGCACAGTGCGTGCGCTGTCATTCCAGCGCACAGCGCACTGCGCACCGGCATGCACTGCACTGCTCACTGGTGCGCCGCAACTATGGTAGAGATGCCCGAAAGGCGATACATTAATCAGACTTATCTTCTTCGTCGACAACACACCAAAGCGACTGCAGCTTGGTGGTGCTCCCCACCATTAGATTGCTGCTTTGTGTCCTTTCCACCCCTCCCACCCCTCCCTCCCCCCCCCAAAAAAAAAGAAATAAAAACAAAAAGAAAGGGATCAAAGAAGCAACACAAGTGGGTAGCGGGGACCCCAATGGGATGCACAGAACAATTACTGACCTCATCAGCAGACAGAGTAAGCTGAAGCTGAGTCGAAGGCAAGTCGTTCCCTGGAGCAGCTGGGGTCGTCTCTCGGATGACACGAGCATAATGCCCGGATGCAACGCGGTCGAATTCATGGAAACTGATGTGATCGTAGAAAGCACCTGACAAACCGAAGAGGCCAGACAAAAGAAAGAGCATAAAATATCTAAAGATTCTAAACTACAGTTGGTAAAATGAAAATAAACAAAAAATAAAAAAGGTCATAAGAAAACCGAAGACGAAGGATGAGGTACCATGGTTAAAGGACTCTCAAGGAAAGCCAAGAACACTGACAGCAAAAGATGCCAAATGGGGGAAGTGGTTACAACACGGTGTATGGCAGGTAAAACATCTCTGGTCAGACGACAAGGGGGGATGGAAAACAGGTAGGGAGATGAGAGACGAAATGAAAGGAAATCACAGACTAACGGAAAATCTGAATGACATTCTCATCTCCATCCTGGATGAGTGGACAACAATACTGAAGGAACCGGACAAATGGGGCGGGGGAGATTGGGCAACAATAACCACTAACGATGAACCAGAGGCAGCCATTTGTATAAGACAGGAAGTCGGCCCTCTCAACCAGTGAGTTGAAGCAGATATGTACACAATACTATCTCCAGGACTCACTGTTAGTAAGCTGGATAGGGAATCCAAGGCTCCAATAGTCATCAAGAAAAGCATCCTGAGAAATATCAGAGTGGTTGAAAATGAAGATTTTACGATATTTGAGCCACTGACAGCCATTCGGGATCTGGAAATTGATCCAGCAGAGTGGGCATGGAATACAAGGGGAAGTTCGTCAAGACTAAGTAGGAGAATCAATATACTTCAGTATACTACTAAACTGGGCTACCGTTTGAGGGAGAGACCACGCCAGTTGGACCACATTTTGGCAAGAAGATGGGAGAAGACATTAGATATACCTAGGGTCCAGGTAGAAAAGTTACCTTGGTCAAATCTGCACAGCATCAGACTGCCCAAGGTTAGGAGCATGCAGTGGCTTATCTTTCATGTAGCACTCCCAGTCAATGTCTGGTTGTTCGGTAGGCGAAATAGGATCAATAGGAATGACACGGATCAGGACTGTGTTATGTGTACGGGAGGTGTATTGGAAACTCTGATACATTGCTTGCTCCATTGCCCGGAGGCAGAACATCTTTGGTCAATATCACGAGAATTATGGGCACAGATTACGGACATCCCCTTTCCACATAACAGAAAATTAATATTGATTGGAAGTGAAGTCCCTAGAGGATGGAAGTCAGGCCACAAGTATATCTTTCACACCCTATGGACAATCTGGAAACGAAGATGTCAATGGGTGGTGGGTAAGACTCTGTTGACAAGAGGGGAAGCCAAGGCAATTCTCTATAACTTGTTGGAAACAGAGATTAGGGCATTATGGAGAGGAACAAAGAAGCAACTTGAGCTTAATCTAGAAAGGGCAAAGGACATCTTATCTAAATACCACAACAGGGTATTAGCCCAAGGCAAAGTCACGACGATTGAAGGACAAAAACTGATCTTCCATTGGTTCAAGGAGAAGCATCAGGATGACAATATACATGACCAGCGGTCGACACAGGAGCTTAGGTTGCCTTAAGGAGTAAATGGGAGGCCAGCTAAGGAGGACATGAGAGAAAAATGGAAAAGGGGCAAATGGTGTTCACATTTCTCAGAATATCAAAATTTTGTATTTCCATATAGGGGTGTTGTAGTTGGCACAAACAGGAGGTGTTGCTATCTACTAGGACCTTTCTCGTTACTCATGATTTATATGACAGATAGTAGCATGTGACCTGAGAGGAAAGGATGAAGCAGGGGGGCAAATGGTGTCCACATTTTTCACATTAGCAAAATTTTGTTTTTCCATATTGGGTTTTGTACTTTAGACAAAAAATAGAAGGTGTTGTTATCTGCTAGGACCTTTCTCGTTACTCATGATCTATATGACAGGTTGTACCATGTGACCTGAGAGGAAAGGATGAAGCAGGGCAAGCTGACAGTCAATCCTCCGCAATGTTGGAGCAATCAATGCTGGTCAGGGGTCCTTCGGCCAGACGGAAGGAAGCGTGAGTGAGTATTTTTGATGTATCTTTTATAATGACTTGCCGGTGGAATAGGAACCGGACTGATGCTCCCCAGAATGGATACGGAGCCAGGACCATAAGGGCCTGTTTA